TTCCAAAAGTTAGGAATTTTTGCGTATTATCGAGCAAAACTTATATGTGAAATTTCAAGTAAATCGGTTGAATACTTTCTTCAAAATGGTGAAAAATGTAAAATCGGCCCGCAAATCCGTTTTCGAGCCCTGATCTTTCCAAAAAATTTATATGTTCATTGTTTTAATACGAGGAGTTCATATATTAAATTTCAATGAAATCGGTTGATTATTTCTCTTTATATACACAAAAATGTATATTTGGCCCGTAGTAAACGTCTAGTTGCCGATGCCTGATTTCTTCCAAAACATACGAATTTTTGCGGACGGTCGAGCTGAGCTTATATATAAAATTTCAAGTAAATCGGTTGAATATTTTCTTCAAAATGTTCAAAAATGTAAAACAGGCCCGCTAAAAAGTGCAGTTCCCGAGGCCTGATATATACCAAAAGTTGATCGATCCGTGCCATGGTGGAAGCAAACTTACATATAAAATTTCATCAAAATCGGTTCAGCCGAACTTGAGATACACGCGTGCAGACACAGACCGACAGACCGACAGGTTGCTAAAAATAGTTTATTTACACTTCCCTACTATGGAGAAGTACGTTCCCACCGAAAACTCGATATGCAAAATTTGTTGCCATCACATAACCTACCTATTGTTTACACAATACGGTCGGTAAATATGATCTCATAAAAACCGCAATTACAAATGCAAAAAACGAATCTACAACTACTATTAAGGTCGGTAATAAGAAAAATTTTTCAAAACCTTGGATGGACAAAGAAATTATCTCGGCTATTAAAATAAAAAATTATTGGTATTCAAAGTGTGTTAACAGTGCAGGTAATATAGAAATTCTGACAAAATATAAATATTGGCTTAATAAATTAACTCATTTAAAAAGAACAAAAAAAGGAAATTATTATGAAAATAAATTTAAAAAATGCAAAAATGACCCTAGAATGACATGGAATAACATCAAAGACATAATATGCTTTAGAAAACTTAATACCAAAAAATTTTATAATACAAGGAAAACGATTCCAATAATGACAAAATCGGAAAATTAAATGAATTCAACAACTATTATTGTACGTAGGTAAAAAATTAGCAAAAGTAATTCAACATGAGGTATTCTATTTAAAAATACAAGTAGCAAGTAAATTTTACTTTAATGTAATCATTTTATCTGAAGTGCAAAATTGCATACTAAATATAAAGCAAACTAAGTCAGCGGGCTATGACAATTTTCAAGTGAATATATTCAAAGAAACTCAGAAAGAAATTTCTTCATTCCTAACGTCACTTATAAACACTTCTTTTCAAACTGGTACATTTCCAAACTGTCTTAAAATTAGTAAAGTTGTCCCCATATATAAGGATGGTGACGAAAATAATATTACAAAGACCGATATCACTTTTGTCTATAACCTCAAAAATAATTGAAACTTTGGTCAATACTCAGCTGTATAACTATTTAGAGAAGTATGATATAATAAGTAAAATGCAATACGGCTTTAAAAAGAAATCTAGCACAACTTCTGCGTTATTTGATCTTATAACCCATATTGAAAAAGAGCTGAACGCCAAAAAGAAAGTAGCCATAGTATTCTTCGATCTGGCAAAAGCTTTTGACTCAGTGGATCGAAATATTCTATTAAAAGTATTACGCAGTTTAGGAGTAACTGGAACCGAATTTAAGTGGTTTGTAAGCTACCTCGAAAACAGGAAACTATACACAGAAAACGAAAATCTACAAAGTAAAATTGAAGATAGACTATGGTGTTGTTCAGGGGAGCTCTCTAGGGCCAACACTATTTCTGTGTTATATAAATCAAATCGCCAACACTGTCCTTAATGGTAAAATATATATGTATGCTGATAATTTAGCTGTTGTATACGCTGACCACAATTATGACGATATGCAAAATAAAATTAACTGTGATAATAAAAAAATTCTTGAACTTATGAATCGCTACAAATTGACAATAAATACTGCTAAAGCAAAGTACATGATATTTAACACAAATGACAACGAAAGGCTTAATATAAAATATAACAATAACGTCATTCAAAGGGTTAAAACCTATAAATATCTTGGTTTAAAAGTTGACAATGAATTAAACTTTAATTATCACGTAGACGAACTCAGTAAAAAATGCAGGAAAATAGCTTTTATTTTTAAAAAAGTATCTTCAATCATACCTGACAATTTAAAAAGGAAAATTTACTATAGTATGTTTCATAGCGTTATAACTTATGGAATCATTATTTGGGGACCTGGGTCGAAAAAAAACTTAGACAAATTAAGAGTATTGCAAAACAAAGCTATCAAAAATTTATATGAATTACCATTAAGAACATCATCTGACCAACTATATGAAAAGCTTAATCTGATTCATGTCAATCGTCAACTAAAACTGCTACAAATTGAATATATAAACAATATTTTACAAAAACACATCTTAACAAACACTCACTTTACACAAGGAACCCAGATCCACAGCTATGCAACAAGACCTGCTACAAATTACAGAACAGACAAGGGTGGATCCAGTAAAATACATAATGCTGCTGTATCAGAATACAATAAAATTCCTACGTGGATGAAAACGATAAAAAATAAATCATTTAAATTTCATTTAAAATCGTACAACTAATAACTCATCTTGGTTAATAATGCAACTGACATCCGAGAGTGCTTCCAAATAAATAGATAAATCAAATTTGTCCTCAGTCAATAAAACTAAATCTAAATTTTGTAATCCGTTAATTCTCTAATCAATTGAATATTTCTTATTCTTTTTCTTATTATTTAATAACTATTTGAAACTTTTATAGAATTTTTCTTCTGTATTTACTACATGTATCTCTTTAGAAAAACAAACATTTTGTAATACTGTAATTTATTTTTTTTATTTTAATTGTTTTTTTTTCTTTTTTTTTTGCCATTTGTTCTTAATTTTAAATTTAACTTATTTATTATGTAATTTTATACAAAAATAATGGTATGTTATGTAATTAAACATTGTACACTCTATACCTTGCTCTTTAGAGAAATAAATAAAAAAATAAATATTAAAATATTAAATAAATGCTACACTACAAGAAAAAAAATCGTGTAGTTTTTTTGTTACGTATTCAGTTGGTTTTGATGTATTTTTTGAAGTTTAAAATGGGCAATTGATATTTTGTTTACCTAAACTCGTAAATTTAGGTAAGTAACTGAGTTTGCTAACCAAAACTCATTAATATCAAATGTAACTAAAATGCATACTTCTGATATAATCACATATATGTATATCTATATATTTTTCGTGTGTATACTATATTAATTAAATTTATATGTATGCTTCATAATTCACAAAAATTATTGCATATGGAATTCTTTTTATATTAAAAGTCCATATAATTCTTTTAAGGAATGTATGTGATTTTAGTTTTATAAGAAATATTTTCGCATTGTTAGTAAGTCTAATTAACTGATTTACCTAAACTACAAAATCAGAAACTTTAAAACTTGTACAAGTTTCTTTATGATATTTTTATTGTGTTTGTTTTTATATAGGACAACGACACATCTTTTATAATGATTATAAAATTTTGAAAGCGCTATCATAATTATAAAACTGAAAATCAAATAACTACAAACTTCAATTTAAATTTAATAAAATTTTTATTAACTTTATTTTAAGTCGGATATTCTACACTAAAAAATATAGCACCAATTTTTTTTATTCACTGTATTATCATTTTTAACTCTCAATTCTCTTAGATATGTTGTCTGAAATGGCGGTACAAAACAATGCGAAAAACTCGAATATACATATATTGAATCATAATTATAGTTAGAAATTTGAGTTGAAATTTGAATTTTTGATATGTTGTTCAGAAAACTCGAAATTTCATTTGAGTATAAAAGCTTTTGGGTCAAGTTTTAAAAATGATCATTTTTCCAACCAAACAGCAAAAAAAATAATTCTTCAGAAATGTCGCTTCGCCAAAAATTCATATATATGCAATTTTACAAATACATTCACAAAAAAAAGCAGGATCCAGGCTAGGGCTGTCGTTTGATTTTTTGAATGAGCAACAGAAATTTTCAAAAAAGGAAACATTTAAAATTTTCAAAAAAGTGGAGCCAATTCTTACATTTCATAAAAAAAAATAATTTATTCACGTACGAATACAAAAAAAAATCGGAAAAACACAACAAAAACTTTTAACAAAAATTCACAACTTGGTTCCCAACTGATATCATTGCTTAGCATTTCAATATAAAAGGAGTTTCTTAATTTAATTTTAATTAAATTAATACAAATGAAGCAGCTTTGAATAATTTTTTTCAACTCGATCGACTTCAATTAAAATGTCAAAATTGCAATATTGTCGTTTCTTGAAAAAATTCTATACAAACATATTTCAACTGTTGACGTCGACGAAAGTTTTGTTATTTGATACTTTAAATGACTAATTGATTAACTTGACTACACAAAGATAGGTGGCGGCTTTTGAATTAGCAAAAAAAGGTATAATACACATTTTCGTTAATGAAGATATTGTCAACGAATTTTGAAATATTGCAAAAAAGTTTTTGTTTTCTTCAGAAATTAAATTTTTCAACTGAAAAATTTTTGCAAGAATAATTATCAATATTGTTTTTGAGTCTGACCGAGACACAAATTTTTAAATCGGAGCCAAACGGCAGCTATGGTCCAGGCCTTGATTTTTTGTAATCTTAAGGTTAGAAGTGTAAACGAGTAAAATATTTTAAAATTGTTCCTAATCCTTGCAATGTGATATTAGTCAAAAAACATCTAAGGAATTTAATAATCACAGTTACATGTAAATAAGTTTTTTGTGTTTTTGTGTGCACTGAATTTTAATTGCATTTTTCTAACTACTTTTTGAAGTTTCGTTATTTTTCCTTTTTGATCTAACGATCTTTTTAAATACAAATTTATAAATTTCAACAAGGTATCTATTTAATATAGTCATACTTTTGAAGCCATACCTTTTCATTTTTCTTTTTAGCATTTCTATCCAATGATTTGAACCAGCTTGCTTTCTCGACTTTCTCGTCCCCTTGAATTTGTTGTATTATATGCGATGATTGAATCTCTTCCTCCGATTGCGATCTCTTTAAAGAGGGACTGGCTCTCGGTGTGGACAACCGTCTTCTAGTTGATATATCATTACTCTAGAATTTAAAAGAGGATTAACTATTTTGTCTTTTCTAAATTAAAGTTGAAATATCTTCTTGAAATATGATATATAATTTATCCATAAAATCTGTTCTGTAATTGTCGTAAAGGATCCATATAAATTTATATGGAGTCTCCTTAAATGTATTGAGCTTTATTGCACTGAAAAGTAGAAACTAAATATTCACTTTCTCCGTTTACAATTTTGTTCTCCTTATAGGAAAATTTTATCATACTAAAACTTCAAATATCAGTCGGAAATATAAAGCGGTAAGCTGGAGTTTATTTGTCCCATACGCCAAAGTTTTCAAGAAAAAGTGCCTTGAATTCAAACTGATAAAAAAAACTACCCGATAGCATTTTTCTAAACTTTCAGGAAGTTTTACTTACTATTCTAACATTAAAACGTTGCAAAAGTTAGAATCTGTGTACATTTTAAATTTTTCAACTTTTTTGAATTTTGACTATCATATAATAATTTTATTTTTCCCGTATACTTTATATTTAAGGACGGATAGATTCTGGACAGGGAAGAAAATCTGATTCCAGGTATAATAAAATTAAGTAATTCAGTTTGAGATTGCAGGCAATTTTGCATTCATTTTTCCATTCTAATGTTGGTATAGTTGTAGGTTTACAACTATACCAAAGCTAATACCAGCATAAAATTTAATAAAAAAAGGAAGTATATGAATTTACAACATGCCTCAAAAAAGCATTTGTTTAGGATTAAAGTGAGTAGTACAAAAAAGAATAGTAAAAAAAAATATACAAAAAAATAATAAAAAATAAAATTCCAAGCTGCATATTTTTCAGATTTCCAAAAAGTTCAAAAGCTTTTAAAATTTGGAGCACGTTTTGCTAAATTTCTACTTTTAATTATCAGTAAGTTCAATTGATTATACTCATACGCTTATGTAAATGGGAATAGCAAAACAATTTTCCATAATACATATCCACAATTTCTAATCAGATAACATGTTTTTACCTTGGAAATAATAATATCACGAATCTAAATTCAAAAGAGGATTTGAAATATCCCAAAAATTGCGGACGTCAACGTTTTCTTTCTTTGCGTTACTGTGCAAATTCAAGAAAAACTGAGAGACTTGAAGGTGTCGTAATTAAGTACGTCTTGCACGACCTGTTTCCAAAACCCTTTGTGGTTGTGCTTTGAAAAATAAATTTCAGAAACCTTAAGTTTTCAACTTAAGAAAAGGAACAAAAAACACAAGACATGTAGCAAAAAAAGAACCAAAAATAAAAATAAAATTTCGACAAAAAATAAAATTCAATATCTCACATGTGTTTCTTTTGCTTCTGGTCCACGATACTCCATGTACCTCGACCTCATCTCCTCCTCATTAACCATATAATTATCCTTTTCGATCGAATTACTTTTTTCGCTACCTGAAGAAAACTCTTTTTTTTCCTTTTTTTTCCCTCCAAAAAGCTTCTTCACTTTTTCTAATCCTCCAATTTTTCTATCAGTTTTTGCAACCCCATCTTTTTGTTTGCGTATTTCGCTTGCGAAATTGGATTTCGTCAGCAATGCTGTCTTTCTGTTTAATGAGAAAGGGACTCTGTTCCGAAACTTCGCTTCCTGAGAGTATTTGTCTAATCGCGGATCAAAGTGAGAACCATCATCTATGCTTCTTTCTCGAAAAACAAAATCATATTTCTTATGATATTGATGCAAATCTTCTGTATGACGACGTTCCTTTCTTAAAAATAGGTCACATAATTTCATAACATCACAAGGTATCGGATCTCGCCATCTAAAAAAAAAAAAAATTACACTGCAGATTTCTTCATTCATAACATTTTCATTACTTTGTTAGAAAGTCACTATTAAATGATTCCTTTCGAAAATCGTTCTCAATACCAGAATCACCTTTATCAAAGCTAGGCTGAGATTTTCTATTGTGGGTTAATGTTTTTATGTCCCATTTTTCATCCTGTTGGGATTGATTTGATGTTTTTTTCCTTGACTGCTGAAATAAATTGTCACTATTTTTAGACCTAAAATCTGTGCTACAGTGGTCTCTTTTAAATAAGGAGAGATCTCTCAAAATTTCGGAGGAATCTGAAAGGTCTTTCTTAAAAAATTCTATAACTCGGCTTTTTTCATCTTGGTCATAATTAATTTCCTTCTCATAAATGTTTTTGTGACTATCATCATCAAAAGATTGTGTACGTACATGTTTGGATGATTTTAATTCCGGTTGTTTTGAAGTAAAACTTGAATTAGAAGATGCTTGTGCTGGTGAACAGTTTTCAAAAATGTCAAGGGATTGTAAATTATCGAGTTTGTCATTATTCCCTCTTTCAAGATATAAATGTCGAACTATCTTGTTAGGCGAACTCCTTTTTCCAATTTTGGGATGTTTCGTTTTATTTACATTTAGTACAAGATTATCGTCATGATAGTCGTTATGCTCATCAGTAAGTGGCTGCCATTTATTACTCACGAATTTCCTAGAATAAATTTTTGATTCTAAAGCTTCCCGTCTACTTTTTAAATTATTAAATTCATTTTGAGCTTTGATTGGATAATCTTCTTGATGAGAACCTATACCACCGCCACGTCGTTTATTCATAGTAAGGTCGATTGGCGGTAAGGAACCGTGAATAACTGGAACAGTCAAAGGTTCTACAGAAAGTGATTTGTCTTGTTCAATGTACTGTAAGGCATTAAAATGATTGTCGGATGTGCTTGTTTGATTCGACAACTCGTCGTCAAAATATTTTTTTGACTCAAATCCCAGGCCTTCATCATCACTCAAATTCCGTGGACTATGTCGATTTCTTTCTGGTGAGGAGTTTTGTCCTCGAAAAAATATTTTGGAGAATGGTTTTGGTTCTTGATCATGTTGATAAAAGTCAGTTAAATAGATTTCCGAATTGTTGTGACCACTACTATCATTCTGATTAGTAAAGTAACTCGGTACACGAGCCGTTTCAGTTACTTTGCAGCTATTTGATATTTGAAAATCTGAATTAGGTGATGATTCACTTTCTTTCGTAGTAGTATTCACAAGTATTTCTTCATTTCGATCTTCAAAATCATCTGCAGTTAATTGAGCATATATAATAGCCTCATTTGGTCTAGTATATGAAAACACTGGTCCACTTATTGCAGGGGGAGGAGAAAATCTTTCTAGAATCAAACGCTTCACCATTCCATCTACCGTTAAACCTTTTGTAAGAGGGAGCTTTTCTGGTGGTAGTTGAGAGCAGTGCATATCCTTGTACATAGCTTTCAAGTTAATAGAGGGATAGGGATCTTCAGTGTCTTTTTTTGTTGATAAATCTTCTGTTGCTTGATATTTGCTAATATTTGCGTTGCTGCTGGAAATTGCATATGGAGGTGAATTTTCTTTATTACTTAATCGATTAGAGCTATTTCTCGTCAGATTTCTATTTTCCTTAATCTCTTCTTTTCTAAAGTTATTCCTTAATGCTATATTTTTAAAATTGTCATCACTAACCACAGCTTCATTAATATAACATGCTTTCTCAACGTTCCCTACAATTTGTTTTATAACTCCGATATTATGGTCAATATTTTCGTTTTCTGAATCAATCTTGTCGTTTTCTAATAACGCACTTTTATCGTTTTCTTTGCATATAAAATCAGTTAAGTTACTTTTACCGCGTATTAATCGACGACCACCACTCTCTTTAAATCGAATATCTTCATCTATTTGGGTTAAATTTGTATCACTTCTACGATTAAACAAATTAAAAATTGAGGGCTTTTTGTTTTTTTTTGCTGATGCGTCACTTACACTCCGGGCAAGTAGCTTTCCGGACTTATTTTTTCTTCGGGTTGGTAACGAATTGAATTTATTTGCGGTTGCTATTACTTTTGACTGTTTATATTTCAAAGATGGTGTAACAACTTTACTTTCTTCAACTGGTTCTGCTTTACACTTTGTTCTTTCTACTTGTTTCAGAACCAAAGCGGCTTCCTTTAATATAGACCTTTGATCTAAATTATTTGGCGGTTCACGTCGCAAATATGATGCGTCCGCTGGTTGTAAGTTTTTCGTTTGTATTGGGTGGTTATTAGATTCGTTAATTCGTTTACCTGAAATAAAAAACAAACCTTGGTAAAACTTATTTTAGTTTTTTTTTTTTAAATTGACTTTTTTGGTTTTTTCAAACAGAAACCAGCAACAAAAATAATTACTATCTAAATATTCAAGCAAAAATTATTTCTGCAATTAGATACACCAGATTTAAAGCGATGGCTCCAAATAGAAATATTCTAAGTAGACTTGTAATAAGAGTTGTCCCTGCTTCTATGAATATTCTAGAATGTTTTTTGAATGTAAATATCAAAATCGGTTCTGTCGAATTAGAGATACAAGCGTTAGAGATACTAGAGATACACAGATACTAAAAATAGTTTATATACACTTCTCTGCCATTGGGAAGTGCGTTTCCGCCGAAAACTCGATATGCAAAATTTGTTGCCATCACATAACACCTCTCATTGTATGCAATCCGATCGGTAATCGAGTAAATTAATTTAAAAAAAAGAAAATTATTTGAAATATTTTGCTTCTTACTTTATTACGTTATTTTTATTTATAACAAAATGAGAAGACTTTTCGCTCTAACAAAAAGTTAGGTTTTTTAGATACAATACTTGTTTTCGTAATATAGAGGATATTCAATTTCAGCATTTTCTTAAATGTTTATCATACTATAACAACTTTCCTACTCAATTTTTGGGTATTTCACGAACTTAAATCCTTAAGATATGTCATTCAAGCACCCTAATTTTTTCCGTGTTAGTCGT